TTATGATTAATGACAAAATATGACTAATTGGACCAATATCAATAATTTATTGGAAATATTATATACAAAATTGATTTCTACACTCTTTTATTTTCTGAGGGAATTATCTTTAAAAAAATTGAATAATCGAATCATTATTCAAAATTACCCGCATAGCTAACGTGAAATAAAATGCAATGGTGTCACTTTGAGACAAAATATTATTTCTGAAGATTGTTTTACACTGTATTCGAAATTGTTGTATTAAACAGTCACTCGTTTCAAGCCCCGAGGCCAAGCGCCTCTTCAATTTATTGATTAATTATTAAGGTTATTACATCAATCAGATAATGATTCAAAGGCGTTGTTTGAGCATGTCGAGGTCATGTCAATTCTCAACACGCCTTATAAAGATTTAAACAAATTAAAGTGATTAAGACAATTTTTTTAATATTGATTTTAATATTGATAATTAATATTTAATATAGTGTAAAGCATGTCCTTTTTATAATAATTGAAGGGTTGATGTATATAGACAATATTTTGGCATATCATCGGACCTGTGCGTAGTCTTGAGGCACGGCAGCGGGCACAGATCGCTGTTCCTGTACCTCAGGTCTATAGGGATTTTTAAATGTATATAGTTTTATGTGTTTGTGTTGTGTCTGTGTTTGACTTTATGTTAATTTATTGGAATGAATGTAATTTATTAGCTTGAAAGGAAGGGGTGATTCAACCCCGCCCCGAGAATATCGAGTACTCTGGGGTGAGTGTGTGACGTCTGGAGAGTAAAAGTAAGTTATTAGCGAGAGTGGAGTGGGTTCAACCCCGCCTCGAGGAATATCGAGTACTCTGGGGGAGTGTATGTGACCAGACCTCTATGTTTCTATCTGTTGTGTTTTGTGTTAATTTATCGGAATGAATGTAATTTATTAGCGTGAAAGGAAGGGGTTGCTTTTACCCCGCCCCGAGGAATATCAAGTACTCTGGGGTGAGTGTGTGACGTCTGGAGAGTAAAAGTAAGTTGAATGAATGAATGAATGAAAAAGTACTTTATTAGATAACAAAAGAGAGTAAAAAAAAATTGTACATAAACAAAAAGCACATTTCGGCAATGGTTATCAACCGTCTGCCGGAGTCGGACTATACATTTTTAATAAACAAGGAAAATATTTCTTCTTAAGGAATAAACAAAAGAGAGAGAAAAAGCTATATAAATAAACTAAAATAACAACATATCTATTTATGCACATATAAATGAATAACCAGGGTGTCTCTGATATATACAGTAAACATTTAATAGTTGAAATAAAAAACAAGCGTTTTCCTGTAGTTCCAGGCTTCCATCGCAAACTTTACCAGATTTAAAGACTCGGGGTTATTTAATAAAGAGATTAGGTGCTCTCTCGTCAACGTGGGCAAGCCTATATGCCTAAAGTTATTAGCAAGAGTGGAGTGGGTTCAACCCCGCCCCGAGGAATATCGAGTACTCTGGGGGAGTGTATGTGACCAGACCTCTATGTTTCTATCGAGTGTTGTGTTTTGTGTTAATTTATCGGAATGAATGTAATTTATTAGCGTGAAAGGAAGGGGTTGCGTATAACCCCGCCCCGAGGAATGTCAAGTACTCTGGGGTGAGGGTATGACGTCTGGAGAGTAAAAGTAATTTATTAGCGTGAAAGGACGGGGTTGCTTATAAGCCCGCCCCGAGGAATATCGAGTACTCGGGGGAAGTGAATGTGACCAGACATCTATGTTTGTGGTGATGTACATGTATGTATTGTATGTTTTGTTTCTATTCTGTATTTGACAACCTGAGGTACAAACGAGAGACTAGCTCTCTAAGAAATCAACGTAGTATATATTTGAAATCAGAGAGTCAGCTCGAGACGCTCAAATGGCTGCAGTTTAAAACAAAACATGCGCGAAAGAAAAGAAAAAAAACGAAAACACGCAGGGGGCCGGCGATGACCTCAGCTGTTTGTCGGCCCATAAACATGCCACTTCTTTATATAATAATTTTCCTTTGTTATAAGCAGCGTAACCTAATTTATTGTTAATGTTGTATTTATTATAATTTTTTTTAATGGCGAAGTGGAAATTTATCACGCTAACCTCCAAACTCATTTTTGACCAAAATAGTGAGGGTAGAAATAATTAAAATATTTTCGGTTTTAGAACAGGTCACTTATATATTAAGCTCATATGTAAGTACGTTGATAACTTGTTTCTGATTTTTCCAAGGTTTAATTTAGACAATCTGCTTAACCCCATTATATTTAGCGGTCTATTGACCGAATTACTTCTTTCAATTACTTAATCTTTTTATGTAAGGTTTTGGTTGAAATGAAAAAGTGTCATGAGCGGGATTCGAACCCACGACCTTCGGCTTAATACGCCGCTGCGTTCATACGTCGCCATATGCGTCCATATATTGATGCATAGATAGGTAGTATACAAAATAAATCAACTCTGTCAGATATGGTCTTTTGGTCAAAAACTGAATTGTGCTAATAATTTGTTACCTAGAGTTTTGTCACTAAGCACCGCATACTTCTGGAGAAGTTAAAGAGCGAGCTTTCCGAATTTTAAGAAATAACAACTACCCAAAGACTTTGGTTAATAGATTTAGATATTAATTCAACGAAGTTAATAAGTACTAAATTTGATCAGCTTCTATTAAATATATAAATACTCAATTAATTATACACAATTTTTTTCGAAATGAAAAATCTTGTGTCACAGGCGGGATTCGAACCCCGAAAGTCGTGGGCTCAATACGCCACTGCTCTACCACTTGAGCTACCGTGACATCGGCCGCCCATGCCACAAACTTCTCATTTCGACTACCCGATTTTATTCTAATTATAAGCAAATCGCGGCTTCATATAGAAACACTTTTTATTAACGATTATACTAGATTAGCGGGACTGTGTACGATTCACAGGTGTGATTCTAGATTAATACTCAATTTGATCAGCTTCTATTAAATATATAAATACTCAATTAATTACACACAATTTTTTTTTAAATGAAATCGAAAGAATAAAATCGGGTAGTCGAAATGAGAAGTTTCTGGCATGGGCGATCGAAGTCACGGTACCTCAAGTGGTAGAGCAGCGGCGTATTGAACCGAAAATCATGGGTTCGAATCCCGCCTGAGACACAAGATTTTTCATTTCGAAAAAATTGTGTATAATTAATTGAGAAGTTAATAAATGGTAAAAAATCGATAGAAATATGAACAATCCTTTCGCGTTCAAGAGAAAACGTACGTTCCAGTGATTTCACCCAAATTAAAATATTTGATAAAGAAATACCCGACATCAATTGATACATTACATACAAACTCAAGGATAAAGAAGAAAAGTTGAATTTATCCAGTGTTGTATATAGGTTTTCGCGTAGTGAATCTCCAATCAAATACATAGGTCAGTCAAAACAGAGAATAAAAATTAGCATTTATGGTCATGTTTCTGATTATGCCAATAAATCCAGAACTACCAAAACATTCGATATAGGCATACATTTGTCTTTTCGAATTTTGAAATAATTGACAAAGAGTCTCAATTACTCACAAGAAGAATAAAAGAGGTTTTTGATAGAAGACCCTTCAGGGTAAGATTGCAATACTGTTACAATCCTTGGCAATATTAGGTCTGAGTCGGTCTTCAAGAAAATTGGAGATATCCAAAAAGAAAAACTTAAATATGTCAATATGTAAATATATTTAAGGTTCTTTTGTAAGTTCTATATAGTTATACTGATTGTTAAATCAATGGTACAAAATATGTTTTTCATAATGTGAAATTAATACAAACCCTGATTATGACCTTCAAATAGATCGAAAGCTTATCATTAGCAACTAATTAATATTTATGAAAGGTGTTGGTTGAGATAAAAAATCAGTGTCACGAGCGGGATTCGAACCCACGACCTTCGGCTAAATACGCTGCTACTCTACCACTTGAACTATCGTGACCTCGATCCGCTCGGACACCAACGTCCCATCTCAACCTCACCCCTCGAATTTTCCCTCCTTTTTGCCATTTTTGACTTTTTTGACTTTTTTATCTCAACCAATACCTTTCATAAATATTAATTAATTGAAAAATGTTAATTGGTCAATCGGACCACGAACTGTAGTGGATTAGCAACTAACTTTGGTTTCTTCGGCTTCAAGACCATACCTTCAGCTAAGAGTGCTCGTAAGTAAAACAGTGGTCGATACTTCTAATACTGAAAAAATTATTTTAAAGATTATATTGCATTTTCAAATTAAATCTGCCTATTGTTTAAAAGTAAATTTTTGAATAATTTAACGAACATTTAAAGAAAAAATTCAAAACCCGTGACGAAAAATATCAATTAAGTCGTACACCACCACCACCGTTAAACATCCGCCTCTTTTGTCCGTGAATAATGACTAGCCGGATCTACATTTTATATGCAAAACCGTTTGCGGTGGATTTAGTTCATATTCCACAAAAGAGTATAAAACCGAGTTAAATTTCTCCCTGAGGACCGCCGTTTATTACCAGATTTTCACCGATCTTTTCTCCCTCGAATGAAAATCTTTTTCTGTCGTCTCAAGCGTTGATCTGGTCGTTATTGCAACGTGTCTACCGCCTGCAGGCCTGTTAGGAATCGCAGGAACGCCAAGCTCTCTGTCCACATTTTCCAAAAGAATTCACTACGGACTCATATTAAACACACAATACGACACATTTCAATTACAACACGTAAACTGAGCACAAAATATATGTGTTGCCATATTGTACGACATATTTTTCCTATGAAAATTAAAGATTATTTTGACACTACTAAAACGATAAGGTGAGTGTGAAAGCAGAGAACGATTATTGAACATACATTATTTTTTGGACTGGCATAAACTTTAGATTGTCAGCGTAACTTATTAGCTGGGTCGGAACAGACCAAATTAGGGAATATGAATGCAAATATTTGTTATTATTAAATTTGTATTATTAAGTGTGTAAAATAATATGAACTGTTATCAGGTTGGGTCCAGGCCGGAGAGACTCAGCAGCTCAGATTACGACGGTTTCTCCGCCGACGGAAACGCGGGAGACATCTCCCCCGCCGCAGAGGAGGCGGAGAAGCAGTTTGGCGCAGCTGACGGACATACTTCGCGAATGGGGAGGCTCGACGGGGAAAACCGGCCGAGGTAGCAAACAAGCACAGCTGGTAAGGAGGGAAACGTTGGCGGATCTCGCGAGGAGCCTTCCATGGGGGCGGCAGCCGAATGCCGGGGATCTGCGGAAGAGGCGGGAATCCTCGGCGGACTCGGGCGTCAAGTCGGGCTCGAACAAGTCCTCGTCGGCCATCTCGGACTTCAGGTCGGACATCGCCAAGCTGTGGGGCTCGAGGAGGGAGAGCACGGTGATCGTGGCGAGCTCGGCACGACGCGGATCTGGGGAAAGCTCTAGGAGTGGAAGGCGCGACAGCACCGTGTCCGGATCGAGAAGGGGATCGGGAGAATCGGCACGGAGCCACCACCACCACCACCATCACAGATCGACGCGGAGGAGGGTTGAACAGCAGAGGCCGAGCACTTCTTCGACCGCGTCCGACACCGGTCAGCATACTTTGGAATGCATCCCAACCCCGACGATCATAACCAGTTCGGTGACTCCGCCGTCCGTCTCGCCGTCGGCCCCTCAGACTTCGAGCCCGTTCGGAGCGACCTCTCCGACCGCTGCGGCTCCCCCCTCGGTACCTCCGTCTCAAAATCAAAACCAAAATCAGACCCAGAACCAAAACCAAAACCAAAACCAGAACAGTCAGCAACCCACGACCCCTTCGCAGCCGCATCCCCTCCTCGCCACCCGTCGCGACTCCACGACTCAAGTAAAACAATCCCAATACAAGTACAGACACTCCCAGATAGGCTTTAACAGGCATAACTCACAGGTCTACTACAAAGGTCGCCGGGATTCGCGGAGCCACGCTTCGCCGGAAAGGCGACCGAGCACCAAAGACGGAAAGTTCCCCAGGCTGACCAGGCAAGGGACTGCCATCGACGAGAGTTGGCCTGGGCAAGGTCGCCGCGGATCCCAGCCCACTCTTAGCCCTGATCCTGAAGAAATCCAAGGCCGAAAGGCGAGAAGAGATTCTCTGTCGCCAGACTCTGCCAGTTGCGTCGCCAGTCGACCCTCCAGGAGAGATTCCAGAGCCAGGTATGTTCCATCCGTTGAATAAAGTAGTAACGTACTTACGAATGCCTTGATTTGGACAATAAATGAGCTGTCCTTACCTTTTTACCATGACTCTATTCTCGCTTATTTTTTTCAACTTTCCAACAGTTTTGTCATTATTGTCATTTATTTTTTCAGCACTTTTATAGTTATAATTAATATTTAATTTTTAGAGCTCAATTTTTATTTTAATGCGTTATTATTGACATGTTAATCAGGCTTGTAACTTATTATTTTTATAGGGATTTCGCTTTTAATAAATCAGTTGTTGCGTTAAAAACCACTTGCTTTTATTGAGGACTTAGTAATTTTTCATAACATTTAATCACTGAGTAACTAATAATGTCAAAACATAGACAACGATCGAAAGATAGTGGTGGTCTTTTTTTTGTGTAATGTCGTAATAAACAGGCTGCGTCCGAACGAATTTAGTGAGGGGTCGTTTTTATTATTTCAGCCGGTTAAGTCCGGACAGAGGTGGCGAGCGAGAGTCCAGTCCGCGAAGGAGTCGGCTCAGACGGCAATCGACATCGATAATGGGCAGGCGGGGTTCCAGGTCGCCGAGGTCTCCCGAATCCTCTTCGACGTGTTCCTCCCGGGACGCCAGCCCTTGCAAACCGCCGCCTCCGCCGACCCACGCGCCGGCCATCCGGAGGCAGTCGACCACCGAGGAGATCTTGATAGCGCGCGGCTTCCGACGGCAAAGCACCACCGAAGAGATGATCCGCTGCAGGAATTTCAGGAGGCAGTCTTCCCAGTCGGACGACTGCACGCGCTACCGCGGTCGAAGAGATTCCAGCGCCCAGATCATCGACGGCACCCTCGCGACGATGACCGTCGAGACGACGAGCACTTTCTTCGATTCCAGCACCCAGACTGGTAAGTCATTTGAAGACAACTACATAATAGACGTCCACACATGGCAAAAGTACAGACACGCTTGACAGATTATTCACTCGAGTTAGTGAGAACTGGAAAATTTACCTAAAGCTAAGGTTATAGTGGATGCTCGTCAGAACAAGGTGGTTACATTGTGCGCGTATTCTGATAGTCAGTACGTTTCTGCCTCCCAGCAAAATGGTCGAACTTAATGAGTTTTATTTTCTTGAAAGTCCGTTGATTAAGTTATTGTTGATAGATAGTGGGAAAACAGAGCATGTTAACCACTTATTTTTCACAAGAGACGACAAGGGGGAGTTTTAAACTTACTGCTACTCTATTTATGTTTAGTAGTCTAATTGACCATAAAACTCTCTAAATTCAACGTCAAAACGAACGAAAAAATCCAACTCGTTTGAACGCTCGAATGGTTCTGACGAAATCGTGCGTGTTCTGACTTGCACTTCGCTGCCAAAGTAAACATTCTCATTGGAAAACAAGTACTTGTTTGTCCTGACGAGTTACGACGAGTTCGTCCGAACAAACAAATACTTATTTTCCAATGAGAGTGTTTACTTTGGCAGCGAATTGCATGTCAGAACACGCACAATGTTATCAGAACCATTCGAGGGTTTTAAACGAGTTGGATTTTTTCGTGCGTTCTGACGTTGAATTTAGAGTTTTGGTTATTTCAACATGGATATTGATAAACTGATTAGTCTTGTGTTTGAGAATCGGTGTTTCTGGGGCATGAAAGACAAAAACTATGATAACACAGATATTTCTCGACAAGAGTGGGAGAAAGTTGGTCAAGAAATCAACACTAGCAGTAACTCTCAACACGTCACGCAAGAATGGCACACTTATGCAGAAGATATTCTCAATAAAGATCGAAACGTTGGCACGATAAATAAAATGCTTTTCTGAAACCTACATCACAACAGACCGCATCTCACGATTTCTGAATAATCAATTAACTACCAGTAAGTTTGAAACTCTCCCTTATCATCTTTTGTGGAAAATAAGTGGTTAACTTGCTCTGTTTTCCCACCATCTATCAACAATAACTTTATCAACGGACTTTCAAGAAAATAAAACTCATTACGTTTGTCCATTTTGCTGGGATGCAGAAACGTACTATCAGAAAACGCGCACAATGTAACCACCTTGTTCTGACGAGGATTTCGGACGTACTCGTAAGAGCATGTATCCACCGTAACCGAGCCTAAAGCCGGGAACACACCCGATACTACCCTACACTAATCCAAAGCCCAATTTTCCATAAGGTTGCATTACTCCCGTGCACATCTGCCCGATGCTATGCAACGCTACTCTACGCTCTGCGATCCCCACTGTCCAGATTTTTGTCGGGTAGCATCGAGTACAGTCAAAAACAAAAGAACCGGACTCTCATATTTTTATTCAATCTATATGCATTATTGTCGTTATATTAATTACAACATACTTATTTTAATATAAACCAAATCAACCGACATCAAAAATTATTAGTTTTAATTTATTTTTTAAATTAATTTTAATGGTTTGGTAGAAAATTGATCAAAACACCGGAATACCATGTTTTGATGTAATGAATCTAACTAACAATTTATTACACGGTTTTGCTCATAAAATTTAGCTAACAATTTATTTCATGGTTTTGCTCATAAAATTACATCATTACGTCGAGCAGTCAGAAAGGACACTCATATTTTTTGTACTTTATTTCAAACTATGTACTGTGTAATTTTGTTAATTAAACGAAATCAAAAATTCATAAGTTTTTATAAAAATTATTTAAATATGATGGTTAGGCCGAAAATTTATCAAAATTCCGGAATAACTTTATTTAAAACAATTAAATTTGACTAACAATTGATTACATGGTTTTGCTCAAAATAATGCATTAAGAACAAAAGGGCGTTGCGATTGTGATACTGATTTGTGATACACGCTGTGTGCTTGCGTCGGGCAGATGTACACACCCTACCAAAACGTGACAAAGCGTCGGGTAGCAACGGGTAGCGTCGCATATCGTTGGATCGGGTAAGTGTTACCCGCTTAAATCGTGGTCGATCTCTGTCGACATTTTATCACAGAACCTATAGGGCAATACATTTCGTTGTAAAAAGGTTGGCCGGTAAAAACATCGTTCATTTACGTTTAAGCTGAAGTTGTAGGAAACAGCCCTTTGCTCTTTCCGATAGAAAGTTTTTATTCACAAAATTTTCCTTCGGGTGATGAATACTTAGGAGGCGAGGCAAAATCAGAACGGCGCAGACCGTGTCAAACTGCCAATCCAGAAAGGGCCAGATCAGGAACAAACTTGTTCGAAGTTTCCGTCTGAACTCGAGATATCTGAATACAACTCGCTCGGATCAGTCTCAAAATGGGGGAAAGAAATTGATACCGCCACCTTGTCACATGACACTGCCCTACAATTTATACACTGCCATCATATTGTTCAGTGCCGATTTTCCTGTACTTTATATAATGAGGTTTTAGAGACTAATCTTTCGAAATGATTGTAATGAGAAGGCCCTGGTTATTGTTTTAACATTTATCCTAACGGCCTTAAATTTTACCTCCACCCTGCACTACAATCCCACATCGTGTGTTTCATACGAATTATACTAAGCCTGCGCCGCTAAATTGTGGAAACCCTTATTTGCTCCAAGTAACAATTACGTGGTCACAACTTTAACTACGTAATTATGTATTTCTCAATTATAACGCGTAGAATGCTTATTTCATTTAATTAATAAACCACTGTACTACTCTTGTTCTGTAAGTAACGAGGAAGTACACATACATATTTTATCGTAAATTTTTTTTGTATATATACATATTTATTACTTACTCGTTTGACAAATTTGACACGGCAAACGACTATATATAGGTTTAGATGGAGAGTTGGTGTCCGAGAGGATCGAAGTTAATTGGTCAATTGGTCCACGAAATCTAATGGATTTAATAGTTAAGCTGAAGTATATCTTCACGAAAGTTCTCCGTGGTCATTTCGTTTGTCGCCGAGAATCGAATAGATTACACGTCATTTGAAAAATGGCAAAAAGGAGAGAAAATTCGATTTTCGAGAAGGTAAAACAAAATTAATCTTTAATTAAGGTGCTGGTTGAGATAAAAAAAGTCAGTGTCACGAGCGGGATTCGAACCCACGACCTTCGGCTAAATACGCCGCTGCTAGATTAGCTAAATATCCTTAGACGAACGTCGTGGGTTCGAATCCTGCTCGTGACACTGACTTTTTTGTTACAACCAAAACCTTAATTAAAGATTAATTAATTGAAAAGAATTTATTTGGTTAATTACCATGAAACCTAATAGATGTAAAACGTTTAGTTCTTTATAAAAATGAATTCAACAAAAAAAAATCCAAACGTTAGGTTGAAATGGGAAGTTGGTGTCCGAGCGGATCGAAGTCACGATAGCTCAAGCGGTTAGAGCAGCGGCGTATTGAGAGGAGGGTCGTGGGTTCGAATCCTGCTCGTGACACTGACTTTTTATCTCAACCAATACCTTAATTAAAGATTAATTAATTCATAACGTTTAATTAATACAATAACGCTTTTATAACCCGTAAATACTAATGTACAATAAACGTCTACAATTAAAAACTACACATAAAATGAAAAAGTTGATAAATATATTCATTATGTAATTAAGTACAAAAACGAAATATGTATGAAATACGCATAATTTTTCCCTTCATTTGCTTGCTTATTTATTTTTTTTTTAAATTAAAGTAAATAAAAACAAACTGATTTAAATATAACCATCCGAAATGAATTTTACACTTTCTACATTATTTGAAACAATATTAACTATTACATTTGTAAAATTATGACAAAATTAATCATTTTTAACTTGTTTACTTGGAGTTTGACTTTTCCAGGTGGGTGCAGGGTGGGTTCTGCGTTTTTACCTTTTCGTTTTCCTGGTATTCACGTCCTCCTCGTTTCTCCCGTCCACCACGACGTCAAATCCCAAATTATTTTCGTCGTATGTGTAATATTATCGCATTAGAAATCCACTGGAAGTTATATTTGGGTACGCCACTCAAAAACAACCGCCTACCCTTTTACAAGAGTTCTTTACCCGTCTCTTTATATTCCTGGGATAGAAAATGTTCAAAGAAGAGAGAACCAATTGTTCCTTTTTGAATGAAGCGGACACAGCCAATATTGGACGATCCGACCCTCTTTGACGGTTGTTTTCTTACCTTTGAACTCAGCCAATTCCTCCTTCGTTTGAACCGCAACAAGTTTTTCGCAGATCCAGTAGTTCGTTCCCCAGCCACTATCATAGACCAAATTCTTTTTTACTAGGAAAAATCTGACGCTGTTTTGCCTTGAAAAGTTTTCTACTTGTTTTGTTTCAATTTCATCGTCGGCGTGTGCTTTACGTTCCGTTCAATTTTATAAATTAGTTTGGTCAATAAATTTTAGCTGTCTATGTCACGTTTTGTAACATCTAATCCACATTAGAAACTTTTTTTTTTCAATTTTACAACTAGATTTTCTACCTGAGCTAATTCCAAAGGTATTTATTTCAAAATTATAGAACTAATCAAAAATCAAAATTTTCCGTTTTTGAAATTAAGTGGATAGATTTATGAGCGCATAACGACGTTTTATTCAGCTATTTTATCTTGTCTCGGCCGGCACGTGTCCCTAATAACTTGACACAATCAGAAATCAATATTACACCATTTCAGCAAAACAAACACATTAAATTCCTTAAAACATTTCATGTTCGATGTAGAACCATGTACCTGAAAACAAAAAAAGAAGGTTTTTACTAGTTTTTTAGACTTTTATGAGATGCTGAGCACCAAAAAAAAAAGTAATGTACTTCTGTGCCCAAAACACCATGTCTTTTTATTTCCCCATTAAGGTTTAAGCCCTGAAGATGACAGTATAAAAATTGTCGAAAGGTCGGCGAAAACCGAAAGGAAGTTTTTCTCTGTGTTGACCGCTTCCGTA